AAAACCGAAATTATTACCAAATTTTTAAGAAATAATATTCCGTTTTAGGCTATAAATGTATTCTTCTTTATTGACAAAATGTTAATAAAGAGTCAGTACACACTAGAGAAAGAAAAAATTGCAGAACAATGAAATTCTGTTATAGAATTCCCTAAATTGAATTGATATAGTCGTATTTCTGTATTAAATCAATCTTTAGTAAATTATTAAAAACCGACTGTTACGAGTATTAAGAAATGATAATGATAAGCTACTTACATGGGGTTTATATTGAGAACAGATATACCCTTTGATATTATTGTATATATATTATTTACATTTAATATTATTAAAAACTGTTTTAAAAACCAATAATTCGAACGACAAGTTCTTTGTTCTATTTATTAAAATTATCCAAGAAGATAAATTTAATTAGAAAGATTTTAGATTAATCATAGATTTATCGTAATTTTTATATTTTATAATAATTAAATTCGTATAGTTTTTAAACTGTGTAAATTCATTATTAAAGAATAATAAATAATGGAATATTTTGAACTTAGTTGAACTCATTATAATGTATTTACAAATATTAGAGTTAATTTGTATGTCCTTGGTTCAGTATCTATTTACCCATCTCATTCTGAGAATTGCATATTAAAGTATCAAGTATTTTAGTTTATGCTAATATTTCTTCAGCAAATTTTTTATATAATTATTAAATATTTTTAATTAAAAATGCTTAATAAAGAATATCCGGGCAACGGAGCTCTGTGATCATAGGTTTGTTGCTAGAAACTACAAAACTAATCATACATATAAAGCTATTATCTATATTTAATTTTGGATTAACTGAATTGACTATTATAACAGTAGTTTACTATTTGGTTACGAGTATGCTGTTTGATTAAACGAGTATAAAAGTTCAATTTAATAAATAAAAACAATTTTCATATTCTATTGTACTTTGTAATGATAAATAAATTTAGTACCATTCACCCAAATTATTATTGTTACTGGTTAATTAATAAAACAATTAGTATTTTCTATTTACTTTGATTTGGGTATTACTTAATTTACTTACGTTGTTAATGTCTAATTTTTTTTGGTTGATGAAAATTTCTAATACTAAATTTTTTGAAATCACAAATTTAGTAATTTTTAATATTATATCAAACTTCAACAATACTTTCCACATTAAAGTGAAGACTCAAAAACTTGCTATCAACATATATGTATAACATATATGTATGTATATCGAAACCCAAGTAATATTAGTGTTGTTTGACAGCAAAAATGAACATTTATAATATTTTCTATATGGATGTGTCAATCATTCATTGTGTCATATTTAAAATACAGTTTTGAAATAATTTGAAGGATTATTCCTAGAAAAAAAAACATTCCTATCACTGGTATTGAACTATTTGGGTCTCTATACACAACTAAGTAGATTTATTATGTTTCTTTGCCAAAACCAAAACTAAACTTAAATTAAAAGAGTCTTGTGAAGTTATATTATTGTCTACAGATAGAGAATGTGTGTCGCTTTATTTATAATGAAATATATTGACACGTGTTAACAGATTAACACCACTTTAATAAAGAAAATATCTATGAATATAATTAACTTTTCTATAGTTTTTTATAGATAATTCATTATGGTAGTACAAATCTAAACAAGTCAGTCTACATTATATTAATTACCAGATAATCAAAAGGTTTTTTTTTTTTAATTAGAACGATATAATGACAATATTAAAATCATATTAATCATCACTAATAAAAACAGCAATATATTTGTACATATGTATATAGTATTTACTACTAGCAATGAAATAAATTTTACAATTTTATATCTTCTTAATATTATAGTATTCAATATTCAATTAAAATGTATGCAATTAGAAATTATTAAATTGTTCTAGGAATTATTATTTCATAAAAGCTCGCATATTATATTGTGAATATGAAAGTTATTACTGCATATTGATGATATGTTTCGGTGAATATCACTGTAAGCAAAGAATATACCCTATAGATAAATTCAATTGTGTAAATAATATTATACCATATGGATAGATTTATTTTATTATTAATTGTTATTGTCTATTTTTCATATCAAAATTAATATAAACTTATCTTACTGTTAAGTTGTTTTGATCCTAAGTAAAAATTCAAACGATTTGTTTAATATTTTATTTTACAATTATAATATACACAAAAGCTTCTGATAATTGTTTCAAAAAATATATTTATTTTTTTTTGGAAATAATTGATAAACATTTATATAAATAAAAGGTAAATAAAAAAAATTAGAAATATACAACAACAAATTCCTTATGAGGTTTTTACCCTTTAGAACGCATACAATAGAAATTAACACTTTATTATTTGACTTTTATAGAGATTGTTAGAAAATAACTTTTTATAAGAAGAAAACACGTTTACTTGGGCTGAGTCAGAAAATAATATTCAAATAATTAAAAATGAACTTAATTTGAATTTGCTAATGACAAAGAAATCAGATAAATTCATAATCAGATTTGTTCATAATTTCAACAGAAATTTGTGATGTTCGTTTCTTGTCCACGAATCAAAATTCTATAATCATTCACTGTAGAATTGTTAGTATTTGTTGATTTTTAATACCTGAATGTGACGTTGTATTGTATTTCATACCTTGAACAGCTTTTAAATACTAATTTTTGTAGATTAATAATTAGTTTTAGATATCGAATTTTATTCATGGCACCCATTAAACTCTACATTTTATGTTAGTTGCCTTTCTTTTGGTTTAAATGTGACTTCATGTGACATATCCAGGTAATTGATGTAGCAGCTTGTAATTATGACATTACTATAAGTTAATGGAAGAATGTTCTCACATTTTATTAGTTAATTATTTTTTTTGTTAATTTTTGTTGACATTTAACAATAGAATATAACAAGTTTAATAGAAAACCATGCACCGGTTTTAAAATATTTTGTATCGAAGGCATAAATAAAAGATTATAAAAACAAACTAAAAGTTTCTTTGGGGTGAAAATAGATTCAATAATTAATTTCTTAAGCCCTGTTAGGTAAAGGCGGTTTCTGTCAGTGATCGAAACTGCAACGCCAATCAAAGACGTTTACCGAGAATGGACATTTTTAGCATATTCATGAAAAAATCATTGGTTCACTGCCATTTTCACGTGGAAAACATTGTAATTTCAAATGCATTGACCGTTATTTGCATTGGTCAGTTACAGTTTTATTGTCTTGTATTACCGTTGAAGACGTTATGATTGCGTTTATGATGGTTTGGCGGTAAACGTAGGCATTCCGACTGTAATTTTTGACTTGTGTCGCCAATTTGAATCTTCGGGAATTGTGTAAGTTTTCAAAGATTAAGCACAAACATGCAACGACTTATCAGTTACAGGTGAATAGTATTGTGGAACGGTTCCTTCACGTTTTAAAAGCAGACATATTTTGTCATCGTTTTGAAATTGTAAAAAAAAATGTGTTAGCATTGATTTAATTGTAAAATTAACAACAACGTTTTATATTAAGACAAATTAAAATGACTTAAATTTGTAAAAAAACAAATTCATTGGTCCCATTTACACTATCATGAACGTGATATGAGCTTGACGAACTGTCAGTTCAGTTTACAATATTATCAAAGAAGACAAAGAAAAGAAACTGAGAGGAAATTTTGAATCATTGTGCCTCCTTGTGTAATATCACAAACAAATGTGTTAAGGGATTTTTAACATCAAAAAACCAAAACATACAACAAAATTTCTCGAAAAGTGCTCTTATTTTAGCAAGATTCGGGTGGGCAAAATAGCAAGACCGGGTGGGAGAAATGATCATGCGTAGTGCGTGATATTTTCACCTCATTACTTAAAATTTTGAATATTATTTGAATTATTCAGAAGATTTTATACACAATTTCTCAAGCAACTCTCAGTTTCTTTTCTTTATCTTCATTGCTATCATGAACTCTCATGAGCGTGAAATTTGTTTTGTTTTGTGTAAACGTATAAAATGCTTGTGTGTGTAGTGCAGAGCACAGAACTTGAGAGTATTCAGCATTAAAAGCACGGTTGCCACTTGAAAATTTTTTTCTGTACAAAAATTGGTTCAAGAAGGTACCATCTTTGTAAAAAAGGTCCAATTTTTTTCTATTATTTTTTAATAAGAAAATAAAATATACATAAATTGTACAGAAGATGTAAAACAGTACTGAATAATCTGACTATTTTTTATTGACCATTCATAGTGCATATCTTTTTTATCAAATAGTTCTTTGCATTACAAAATATTATATATGGTCTTAAAATTCATTCAGAACGAAATTTACTTTTACCTTTTGCAGCCTCAATATTTTTACTAAATCAATTCATAATATTATATTAGTTTCATAGTTCACAAAGGCATCCATAAATAAATTTAATTGGATATTATTATATTAACAATAAAATTCATGCTTCAAAAAAGTACCATTACGAGTACCAGAGTACCATACGGAAAAAAAGTACCAATTTTGGTACTAAAGTACCATATGTGGCAACCGTGATTAAAAGGTAAACATAAACATAACATTGCATGTATATGCGTGTCAAGCTGAAGAAACGCATCAAATTTCATTGCGTGTAATTCATGAACTCACATCACACTTTCTTCCCTCTCTCATCAATCGGTAACCTGTTTTTAAGTTCATGTTCATGTTACGTTCATGATAGTGTAAATAGGCCCATTTTCCGTTATATTGGAAGTAATCTGATACTTACCAATAAATTATTTTTTAGAATTCGTCTTAATTTTTCAATTAAAAAGAACAAAATTTTCATGAATTATAGAATAAAAAAATTTTTCTATATTTATAAACAAATAAAGAATATTAAAAGGGTATATTAATTTTATTAGAGTTTATTTATTAAAAATATAATAACAGATATAATAACAATAATTCAAATCATAATTCAGTTAACAATATAATGATTGTATATTTATTATTACAAATCATTCAACAAACAATTGTATTTTTTTGTGTTTGTATTTAAGCAAAATATTCTTCATAGGGGTATTTTGCAAAAACATTATTTATAATAAGTTTAATAATTAAACCCAATGCTTTGGATATTTCTGGTTGTAGTTCATTAAAAATCTCACTCCAATTTTCATTCAATAAAGTATGCATCGTATCGCTTAGTTGCTTATCATTGTTGAAGAGACCGCCTAAACTGAATGATACATGTTTTGGATTCAATTCTAATTTTATACTCTCGACTTCAGCATAAGTCTTTCCAGACTTTTGTACAGGTTTAAATTTAATTTTAGCTACAATATGAATATTGTCTGTGAAAAGAAAATAATTATATTGTTATTTAATATGCCAAGATATCGGGAATCTTATAAAGTACATTAATTTTGCGATTGGTCTATAAGGAGACTCATTTAAGTGGAGGAAGTAATTTTAAAAACTAATTTAGAGTTCATATGAAATATTTAATTGAAAAATTGAAATTATATCTTATGTAAAATGTTCTGAAATATTAAAGGAAGGTTTTTAAATGCTCAAAAATCTCTCCCAGTATACCCCCACTTGTTCAGTCTAGCAAAACGAATCGATTTACAATCCAAGCTCGTTAGTTTGTCTGACAACGTGTCTATCTGTTTTTTCTGTTTTTATCGCATTTTTTTTAACCCAGTTTTAAAATTTTTTTTCCTATATCCTGACCGTTTTCCAATTCTCCTTTTAAATGTTATTTTGCTATTTAATGCATTAATATTAAAAATAATAAATGAATATATAAATGTTGATTGGGGTTGAATAATATGAGGTTAAAACTTTTAAAAACAATTTAATGTATTATTTCTCACCTAATACAATTTTGGAATCGCCTTTTCCAACAATAGGTAGAACCAAAATTTTTCCATTTATTGAATATGGGCCTTCTAAAGTCAAAGTTGGTACTTCCGCCTCTAATTCTGTCATTTCTTTAAAGTTTGCATCGAGACCTCTGCAAATAAAGAAGTATATTATTACAATGTAACATATTTAGTAAATAAATCATTTATTAGTAATTATAAAGAAATTAATAATAAAACTCATTAAATATCATTTGTTTGAAATTGAGACTGTGATAGTAAGAACCGTCATATGAATAGAATAGACTTATGAATTATTTATTCATTAGTACTGGATATTGAAAACAACACTAATCTAATATATGTTCTTGTAGCAAAATGATTACACAAGTAACTATTTGTAAAATATAAAGATTTTTCTAAAGGAGGTGAGTTACGATGTGATTTTAGCAACTACTTAAATTTATAAGTAATATTTAGAGGGTTGGAAATATTGACTATGCATCTACATTATATGTACAAATGCGATCTTATAAAAATATATTTTTTTGTGTGTATAAATCTAGTCACTAATGAATATTAGTTATTGTTATTACCTGAAAGGATCGCAGCAATTATAAGTTTATTTTGATTTTCTCAGTGAGCTGTTTAGCACCAACTTATTAGATTTTAAATTTTTTCATTACATTATTGTTTTTGCAAGCCATCGGATTCTAGAAAGCAAGCACATAAAAGATGTAAAAACATGTGCAAAAGGAATGAGAGTGGATTGTATAGAGAGTTGGAAAGGATAAAGCAATACAGGGACGGGTGGAAATAGTAAGATCTAATCTACATATGTTCGTAACCCTAGCCATCTCAATAGAACGGATCATTAAATCGATAGGACTCAGATGGTTGTGTGTATGTTAGGGTAGTCAAACAGATAAGCGACTTTATGTGGTGTTGAACTGCTTTAGGGATAATTGTTTATTTCATTTTCTTCCGTTTATGTATTTTAACACACTATTAATATTATATTAGTTGAATGCACTTAATCACAAATTTATACACATAATTTAAATAATCATCTTAAGACATGACGAGTGTCCTAGACAGCACAATAGCAACAAAAATGAAATGATGAACTAGTTATT